ACCTGGAAATGGAGCAACTTGAATAGCATTTGAAGCTAATTCTCAAAAGAAAACACTTCCTCTTTATGAATAAAACGTGATCAGTGTTATGACAAAATGTATTAGAAACGTACATTATTATTCTTGCTTGTTCCTCTTCATCTAATGTTTAGTATCAGAAGCAAAGTTTGGGTTCAAACAAAAGTATTACTGATTTCTCGTGATTGCTTTTTCCCAGAGATGGTTTAATACGTGTTTGTGTTTTATATAGAAATTTGATAATATATTTGTTTAAAAGTTTAACATGAGAGATGGCACTGTTTGATAAAAAAGTTTTAAGTATTAAACTCTTTGTAAAGAATTTTTTAAGTGTACAAACCACTAAGTATAAATGCCCAATAATTTAAGTGATCTCAGATTACCCGCTTTTTGATTTACGTATTTATTTACAAGATTTGCATCCTGAAACTTTCTACTTTTATTAGATTTGTTCAAAATGCCATTTTATGAGCAGTCTACTCTCAAGATCGTCCCCATATTCCCTTACTCTGGTTGCCTCTTTAGGGGAGGTCGATGTGACGTGGGTCGACCTACAGTCACAGAGTTAACTATTCACAGCAAAGAATACTTGTTAGCCATCTTCTCCAGTACCAGTAAATGCTGGTTCTCAGTTCCAAGCTGAGGTTCAAAGGTTTAGACTAACTTCACAGATCAGAGGTCAGACACGAATTGCTGCAATTTGTAGTTCAATTCTGCCGATATGACAGAATTTCACAGCTATGATGATTGCTTTTTTCCACTTCTGCACACAGGCCAGACTGGGCAGTTAACAGCGTAATTTGTACAAGTCAGCCCTTGGCACCCAAGTTTAATGAGTAACTAGCTGGTGCCTTAGGTTTCACTGGTGCAAGGTGCATATTATAAAAAGGGTCAAATGTCAGTGCACATAGATGTAGGGGGTGGGGAGTGATATCTCAATAACCACCACCCATGAATCATACATAAAGAATCAGTAATTTGTATTTATTTTAAAAATCACATTTGGATGGTGTGAATGTTCGTCCTTTGCTACGTAAGGGGGTAGATAATTTTTTTAAATGTTAGTGAGAAAGAACAGTCAGATTAGAGATTGTTCACTGAGAAAGTGAAATTGCAAGCTGTTGATTCCTTTCATGGAGTCTCTGGTTTCTCAAAACCCTTCCAACATGTTGTGCTTTCAAAATGCATAACAGCCTTTCAAGAATCTAGGGACCAGGGGCTCCTGGGTGACTCAGTTGATTAAGTGTCCAATTTCGGCTCAAGTCATGATCTCACTGTCCATGGGTTCGAGCCCCACGTCGGGCTCTGTGCTGACAGCTAGCTCAGAGCCTGGAGCCTGCTTCAGATTCTATATCTCCCTTTCTCTCTCTGACCCTCCCCACTCATGCTGTCTGTCTGTCTGTCTGTCTCTCTCTCTCTCTCAGAAATAAATAAAACATTAAAAAAAATTAAAAAAAAAGAATCTAGGGAGCAAATTGGATAACCAGCTCTCTGAACCCATGATATTTATGTGTCTCTGGCATTCTCTACTCTCCATCCAAAAAGCTACACTTCTGTCCTTATTTCTAACCCAGGTTGAAAATATCTTTTACTGTTTAAAGTTGAATATTGGAATATTGGAACTCTTGAAAAAATTCTTAGACAATTGTCTTTGACAAATCATGGGTTTGCCAGTCACAGTTTTGACTCATAAATGACTCTGAAGCCGCAATATGAATACATATAATGTCATTTTTGTTATAGCACAGATTTTAATTTTCTACCCTCCCAGACTAGGATGCAGTTGGAAGCAATTGGATTCTTCCATGGAGTAGAATAATTAATTAAGAGTATAGATTCTTATCTCAGACCTCTTGGGTTTGAACTCCAGATTCAGCATTTACAACTAAGGGACCTTTGCCAGTAAGCAGTCACCCCGTGTCTTAGCCCCCTCATAGCCAGGATGATTGTAAGCAGAGAGTTTGCTGCATGGGGTTGCAGTAATGAGTAATTAAGACAGTGTACAGAAAATGCTGAGCACAGTACCTGGTGCATAATAAGCACTTAATGAATGTTAGCTGTTATTAACATTATTAATATTATTAAGAAGCATAGCTTCATGAATAAGCCTTGCCTACCCCATACATCATCCAACTTTGGTTTAGACTTGATCTTTGCACTGTTAATTTCGTGAGCAACATAAGCTATGAGATAGTTGGATAAGGTGATCCCGGAAGATTGTAGGATGCATTCTTTTTTAATATCTTGGGGAAGCATATTTTAAAATTCCTCAGTTTCAAGTCTAGCGCTCTTTTAGATGCTATCCTTTTCCCCCTAGCTGGTTTGCAACACGTGGCAAAAGCTGTAAAAAGAAATAAATCCAAATCAGCTGTTTTCCTTTGAGAATTGTTTTCATTCTGCCCTTTGGTGAGAAACAGTTGAGTGAAAAAACACAAATCCATAAATGGTACCCACCAGTGGACTAAATTCTATCCCTGATGATGCATATTGTACATATTAGAATCTATGCGTACCTGAAATGCCAGAAATGACAATCTTAAAAAATAATTTGTTTCACTTCATTTCTTCATTTTATTTCTATAGAACATAGAAGTAGCATTTGAATAAAAGCATGGTTTTTACTACCAGTGATAAGGTGTAAATTATGTGCTTAGCATTAAAAAGGTAGTAACAACATCTCACATACTAATTAAACAGTTACACACCTACTGTGTGCTAGGATTAGTTATGAGGCACTGGGATTCTAATGGTAGATTCTGCCCTGGCAAAGTTTACAGCTGACGGGGAGCACCATTATTATACCAGTTGTTTTAAGGTAAAAACATAAATTTATCAATGTTCTGTCGTTTTTGTCCTTCAAAATGGTAGCCTCCTATAGTTCAGTTCAGTGTTACGAGGAGTACAGTGAGAGTTTGTATGATGTTATGGGAACATATCTTGGGGGATCTAAAGATGGCTTCTGAGGAGTGAAATTTAAGGATGAGAACAAGCTGGCTGGGCAGGGGAACTGGCGAGGCTTTGAAGCATTGGGAACAGCACACATAAGGAGGAAAATGACACAAGATCAGGTTGGAAGAGGAGCTGAAGTCTTCTTTATAGGCCTTCCTAAGGATATTGACTTTATTCTATGGGCATATTCTAAGAAAAGGTAGAGTTTTAAGCGGGAGGGTGACAAGACACACCCAAATTGTGTTGTAGTTTTATTTTTTTTTTTGAAGTTTATTTATTTAATAATCTCTACACCCCACATGGGGCTTGAACTCATGACCCCATCAAGAGTCACATGGTCTTCCAGTTGAGCCAGCCAGGTGCCCCTATTGGTTTTTTGTTTTGTTTTGTCTTTGTCTTTGTTTTTGATTTTTTTTTTTTTTTTTAAAGATCATTTTGCCTGCCGGGAGAGCTAGATTGATTGCACTGGGCAAGAGTGGATGAAACAGAGTCAGCTGGAGGGATAATGCAACCGTCCAGGCAGGGGCTGATGGTTGGTAGTTTACAAGATGCTTTCAAATATAGTATCTTATTTTACCTTGTAACAGTTCTCATGTGAGGTGTTTGTATCAGCTTCAGTACACTGGCGAGGATGCAGAGGCCCAGAAAGTTAAGTGGCACGCCCGTGGTCAAACGCTACTGGTGGCAGTGGAAGGATTCTGTTACCTGAACTCTTATGTGACTCTTGTACCTGTGGTCTCCTGGTAGCCTTAGGCCCATGTACTAGCAGCCCTGAGTATGGGCAACTGGTTTATTGTCAGAAAGGATGAGAAAGCTATTTTTAGCCTAGGTTTATAATGGGGTTGAGAAGCAGAACATACAAGGAACTTGATATTAGACTGGGGTATCTTTTTGGGAAACATACATTTATCAATTTCATGTATTTGTCATGCTGAAAATGGGTTTGGAAAAGCTTTCAAAACTACATATGGTATGACAAGATAAAGAAGAAAGGGCAAAATCAGTGTGAACAGAGATGGCGCCACAAGTGTCATGAATCCAGCAAACGTTTGCCCTCAGTCCCGCCATTGTTGAAGAGGGAGCAGCAACTCTAAGATTCACATTCCCCCCACCCCCACCCAGATGAACACAAACCAAGTGTTCTGCTCAGAATAGCTTTTCTTTCTGGAATATAGGAAGATTTCCCCCATTAGGTCTTCATAAAAACTCCATGTTATAGAATGCAGTATCCATAGCTGTTTCATAGAATGAGGAGTGAGTGAGGAGGTTGAAGTGAATAAATTAGTCCAGTTGCTGTCTGGAAACCATTTCTTTTCTCTAGGAACTGCCCCACAAATCTTATTAGTATACATAGTTGTGGGACCTTCAGTAAGACAGTTTCCTCCACACTAAAATTCAGGAACTGGGGAACGTCTGGGTGGCTCATTCGGTTAAGTGTCTGACTTCAGCTCAGATCATGATCTCACAGTTCATGAGTTTGAGCCCCGCATCTGGCTGTCTGCTGTCAGCACGGAGCCTGCTTCGGGAATAAAGTTGCTTTCATAGTGACTCTAGCCAGTTGGTAGTAAATGGCTAGAGTTCGTGTTTCAGTGGTTTTTGAGACTCTGTCTGGATTGTAATGACTCATCGTGATGTGTAGCATAAGTCCCCAACTGGGGAGAGGCAGCTCATCTCTGTAAAGGGCACCAACCTCTTCTTTTTAAGAGCCAGTAAGCTTAAAATATAGGCTATATCTGTTATTTCTTCCTAAACATTGTACTGTTCATCTTGAAGTCATGGATGCTCCAATGAAGGCAGAGGGAAACATACAAAAAATGGAAGAAGTGGGACAGTTTTTTATTACTGTTCCCTGTTTCTTAAGAATAGGAGGGAGCATACATGGTTGTGTTTCTTGGTTTGTAGAAAACAAGACAGAGTAATGATAAGTCTTTTTTTTTTTTTTTTTAAAGAAAATGGCCTCACATTTTTAACACACTTACGAAAATGATATTGAAATAGAAACCATTTCTAGCAATTTTTTTTTTACCCCTTAGGGTTTGTCTCAAAGGGCATGCCAAATATTGACCTGAAAAATCTCAAGCAAACTGCCTGAATTTCCCCTGTATATTCTTGTTCTACATCCTATCAAAGGACCAGACAAGCCAAATTAGTGGGGTTTTGGTGAGTACATTCCCAATGTCCTTTTCTTCTTCACTTAAATAAAACCTTACATTTTCATTCCTATCAACCAAGATATCTGCTGCTTAGACTATAAGTGCTCGGTGTGTGTTTGTTATAACAATCTTGGTTTATAGAACATGGGAAGTCATTTTAAACCCACAATATAAATCCTTATTTCTTTGTTCAGTTTACATCTCTGTGACCCAATAGGAAAAATTACTCCTGCTATCTGTATATGTGAGCATCTTTGGCATTAAGAGATAAGGAATAATTGTGTATTGCTTATAATGGCCTCTTATACCACCCAAAGAAAGAGGTGAAGGGTATTTCTATCAGACTTGTCTTTCAAAAGTGTTGAACACAAGAAATGGTCCTTTGCACAAGCTAGAAAAGATACTTGGGTGTTCTTGAACAATCCTCATGCTGTCTCTAATTTCTGATAGAAAGTATTAGTATTATGTGGGTGACAGTCCTATGTATGCTGTAGCAGGGACAAGGAGCATTAAAGACAGAGGCTGAACCTTGGACTGACGGCCCTCCCTGGCCATAGCCACACCCTCACAAAGCTCCAATCCTTGTGTGTCAGGGAGGAGCTGTTGGTGACACTGATGTACCCAGCAACAGCACTCAACCCCTCACTGCCCTTCCCCCACCCCCACCCCTCGCCCCATCCAAGTCCTTTGTGTTCATGGGTTCTGGAGTTAGTCCATGGAATTCGGGAATTGAAGAGCTAACTTTTTTTTTAATTACAATTTTTTTAGAAAAGCATACTCATTAAAGGAAACCTATGAAATTGCTTATAATCTCACAATCCAGGGATAACCACAATTAACATTATATTTATTCCTTTTTTGTTTCTTTTAGATATTTCAGACATTTTCTAAATATTGCTTAACAAAGTTCACATAATTGAGAATGTGAGATAAACATTTTAGCCTACAACTATGCCATAGTTTATTTAGCCATTTCTATACTGTTGTACATTATGTTTGCTGCATTCACATATAAATAGGTACTATTATGTTCATTACATAATAAACACCACTGTAGTGTGGTGTTTATTCTTAACTATTCATTTTTTGTGTGTCTGTGATTATTTTCTTGAGGTAAATTTCTATAAATGGAAGCATGGGCTAATGAAAATAAACTATTTTAAATGAACGCTGCAAAACTCTTGATATTGTCAAACTGTCTTCCAGAAATGACTCAAATTAAGGGTGCCTGGGTGGCTCAGTCAGTTAAGCATCCGACTTTGGCTGAGGTCATGATCTCACGGTTCGTGGGTTCAAACCCCGTGTCAGGCTCTGTGCTGACAGCTAGCTCAGAGCCTGGAGCCTGCTTCAGATTCTGTACCTCCCTCTCTTTCTGACCTTTCCCTGCTCATGCTGTCTCTCTATCTCTCTCAGAAGTAAATAAAACAGTAAAAAAAAAAAAAATGACTGATTATATTTGCCCTCCCATCTCTCTCCACCCATTATTATGACCATGTTCATTTCATGCACACATGTAAATAAAAGCCTCTTCCCTCCTCCCAGCCCCGTCCCCCCAGTCTTAGCCAATATTGGGTCTAAAGTAGAAGATAATGTTACCCAGCTGACACTGAGGACCAGCCTCAATCTCTTGGGTCCGTTGATGGGGGAATAGCATATCTGAGGCTTGCATTCATTCGCTCAGTATGTCTTGTCACCACTTTTGTTCATTTCTGTACTATGTGCTTCAAGAAAACAAAATCTTTTCGTTGTCTACAAGAAGCCTAATTCAGTCAATGAGTCCAGACAAACAGCAAACTCAAAAATACTTAACATGGACAGGTCATTTAACTTCTCAAGGCCTGTTTCTTAAAAAATTTTTTTAATGTTTATTTTTGAGAGAGAGAGAGAGCGCGCGCAAGCCCAAGAGGGAGGGCGAGAAAGAGCAAGCCCAGGAGGGGCAGAGAGAGAGGGAGACACAGAATCTGAAACAGGCTCCAGGCTCCGAGCTGTCAGCACAGAGCCCAACGCAGGACTTGAACCCACGAACTATGAGATCATGAGACCTGAGCCAAAGCTGGACGCTTTAACTGACTGAGCCACCCAGGCACTCCTGTTTCTTCTTCTTTAAAGTGAGGGGCTCAACTTCTCTGTATCTAATGAGCATCTGAGGTGGTTTTTAGTAAAAATATGTGAGTACACAAGGTAGAGGAACAGCGATGGAGATCATTATGTAGATAATCTTAAGTTTAACTGTGAACAATACGATGTGTTGTATAACTTCCATTATCTAACAATGAAAGCACATCTGTTCCTTAGGAGAGAAAAGTTTCCCTGCATTTTAAATACGGAAAAAACTTTCAAGTTAATCATTTTTTAATGTAAAAAAGTAAAATAAAGGGAAATTTCTAGATGGCCTCTACATTTTCTTTTAGCTCTAACATCTATAATTCATGAGTAATAATAAAATACCAAAAGCTGAGGAGCCCCAAAGCAAAGGAATGGTCAGTGGACCTCACAGACAGCTTTCCAGGATCATGGCTGGAATTTTAAAGTGATAGATTCTACATATTAGTTCTGTCTAATCTTCATCCCCATAGTAGCACCAATTGCCACCCCCTCCCCCGCACCTCCCCCCCCCCCCCCCCCGGAGAGTCTGCATTTGCACTGTTCATGTACTTTTATCAGATTTTCAAACTTCAGAACACACCAGAAAGGTTTCAGGAGTAACTAAGTTCACAAATATTTGACTATCCTTCACTGTTACCAGAAATGTTAAAATTGTGTGACTCTGATATGGAGCTGCACTGAGCAATTTCAGGAGACTGAGCCAAAGCTTGGCAAAAAAAGTCTGACACTGGCCAATTTGATCTTGCTCTCTAAGGTAGACTGTCCCTTGCATATTAACATAGAGTAGACACTTCACAAATATTTGTTGAATTCCTCTCTGTTCAGATCTTGTGCCACTTTGAAATACTGGTTTGTTTTGCACGTATAAAAGTAGTTTTACATATATGTTGGAACAGAATTCCAAAATCTAAAAGCATGAAAAGATTATTATAATACCTCAGACTAGCTCTAATCTTAATCTTGGAATAAGAACACTTTTTGACTAGATTTCACACAGTTAAAAGTCTCATTAATTAAAAAACTAATATATTGGTTCCTTATCTCTCTTTGCATTTTGAATTGTAAACATGAAGAAAAAGCTGTGTAACCTAGAACATTATTTTTCTAATCATTTTCCCATTTTCTCTTAAAAACCTGCATTAAGAGAACACCTACCTCCTTTTTTTCCTTCTCTCTTTTTTTATGGTGCTAAGATATGCATAAAAAGCATTCTTCCAGCTTGCAGTTCAGAGACATGAAATACATACACATTATTATACAAACATCTTCGTCATCCATCTCCAGAACTTTCTCATCTTCACAAACTGAAACTTTGTACCCCTTAAACAATAACTCCCATTCCTCCCTCCCCACCAGCTCTTTTTTACTTTCTGTCTCTATGGATTTGACTATTCTGGGTAACTCATGCAAGTGGAACTGTATAATATTTGTCCTTTTGGATCTGGCTTATTTCACTTAGCATAATGTCTTCATGGTTCGTCCATGTTGTAGCATGTATCAGAATTTCCTTCCTTTTTAAGGCTCATAGTATTCCATTGTCTATTTATTCTACATTTTGTTTGTCTATTCATGCTTCAGTAAACATCTGGTTTATCTCCACCTTTGGGCTGTGTGAATAATACTGCCTTGATCATGGGTGTACCTGTATCTGTTTGAATCCCTTCTTTCAGTTGTTTTGGGTGTATGCCCAGTAGTGGAATTGGTGGATCACATGCTAAGTCTATGTTTAAGCTTCTGAGGAACCACCATACTGCTTTCTACAGTAGCTGTATAATTTGTACATTTCCACTAGCGATGTGCAAGGGTTCCAGTTTCTCCACATTCTTGGAAACATTTATTTTCTCCACGTGTGTGTGTTTTATAATAGCTATCCTAATGGCTGTGAAGTGGTATATCCCTGTGGTTTTAATTTGCATTTCCTTCATGATTACTGATGTTGAGCATCTTTTCATATGCGTGTTGACTATTTTTATATCCTCTTTGGAGAAATGCCTGTTCAGCCCTTTGCCCATTTTAAAATAGGTTGGTTTTGTTGTTGCATTGTAGGAGTTCTTTATATCCTTTGGGTATTGAGTCCTTAATATTTTAAGGGATTGTTTTCCCCCATTCCATCAGTTGCCTTTTCACTCTGCTAATTCATAAAAGTTTTTCATTTAGATGTACTCTTAGTTAATCTATTTTTTTTCTTTTGTTGCCTGTGCTTTTGGTGTCCCATCCAAGAATTAGTGCCAAATTAATGTCATGATCTTCTATGTTTTATAGAAATATGTAACTATATTAGAGTTTTCTTTTAAGGTTTTATAGTTTTATCTTTTACATTGAGTCAATTTTTGCATATGGTGTATGGGAAGGGCTCGGATTCTTTTGAAAAAGGTATCTTTGAATCCCATCGATTCTCAGTAAAGACGTGTGTCAGCCCATTAAGCAAACGGCACACATACTCACACCTAATACTCACCCTCACTTATTTTTCTTCCTTGAGTAGGCTTAGGTGCTTTCCCAACAGACAGGTAAGAGAAAGCTGAAACAATTAGGCAGCTAACAGCTCAGCCGGTTCAGCTTTCTTAACAAGGATACAGCTGTGAGATAGATGGTGGCTAGGATCAGCGAGCATGGTGATATAAACATCCTCAAAGAAATTCCCAAGAAAAGAACAGCAGAGCTAGATAGCGTTTTAGGCTAAGAAAAAAAGGATGTATGTATACGTATAGGGGTGTGTGTGTGTGTGTGTGTGTGTGTGTTATGCATCTATATATTTGGCAGCAGAGGGAAAGAGAGGGGACACTCCACACTGAATGTGACTGTGAATTGTGAGCTACAGTAAATATTTATTTTTGTACAAAAATAGATTTCTCTCCATGCTGCTTTAGAGAAACAAAACTAGACAAGCCACAGTTAAAT